GTATAAGTATTTATATTTGCGTAGCCTTTGTTTTTAGGGTTATTAACAAAGTTTGTGTACTCAGTACCAGTAATATTTGGGGTCACAAGTTTTTGCCATGAATATTTTGTGGGTCAGAAGATAATAAGTTTGGGAACCACTGGGTTAAAGTCAAATGTTGAGTTTAACATCCGAATGTCAAGAAAAAAGTCAAATACTTAGACTAAAATTAAAATGTGAAGATTTATGTCCAAGTGTAGGAAATAAAGCAAAAATACTACCCCAAAAATAAAGTCAAAATGTTAAAGGAAAACAAGGAAAAACGTTCATAAAAAAATTAAACAGTTATAGCATCATGTTTGCAAGAACAATACATAAAAAAACACTTATCTGACTTCATTTGTCAAGTTTAATGCCAGCTTTCAACAATACAGAGTTAAGCCAAGTTATATTTGGTTTAGTGTTTTTCCCGTTTCCCCTGATGCAGTTTGCATGAATTAACAGTCACTTAAACTTAATGTACAAACCCCATTTCAAGAAAACGTGACAAGTTTTCTCAAATACAACAAAACCTGAAGTAACAAACATGGTTTAAATGGTTAAATACATTATTCATGTCAGTAAAATTAATGTTACAAACTCAAGAAAATAATTTAGTCTCCACTGACTAAATCTGGTGATTAAAAAAAATGAAAGTAGTATTCTTTGAACAAATTGTCTACCTTGCTAAACCTTCAAACAAACATTTCACCTCATCTGTTAAGGTTAACAATGTGTTGGGGTGTGTCAGGTACACATCAAGTTTTAGCTCAGTGGTTGTAAAACTGGCTAAATAAGACCCATTTATGTGTCTGCTAAGGTCGATTAGCTGTGGAGACCATCCTGAATCAGTCATCAGTTGGGCATGGAAAATGCATGAAGCAGTTTATGAGATATTTTGCTAACAGACATATAGACAATGACACACTGGCACAAGCAATTATATTAACACCTACCTTTTACGGCGGCAGGCAATAATAAACACTGAATCTAATGCCAGCAACATACTTTAAAATAACTGGACAAAAAAAAAGATAGAATATAACAAATGACAACATTCTGAGGGACACAACACTCAGCAGATTGACATATACGGTATCAGTAGAGTATAACAAAGCTTAAGGCACTCGTCATAATGAATGACTCCCTCGGTACCAATCTCCAAGATCTGTTAGAATGTGGCGGAATCATAAATATTTGGAAAACCTCCTCCGTGTGAAGCCAATCATGAATCATGATGAATCATCTACACTCTTTGTATTCCCTTAAAAGATTTTTTTGCCATTTTCCCCATTACTCAGATACTTTCCTGCGCCCACACCACATGCTACATACCTTCGCTGTCAAACCACGTCAGGATGCAGCTACATGGCACGAGGCTACCACCACAGTATGCCCGGCCCAAGTTATTTCCTCCAAAACCTCGGTTACATAACGTGGATATCTGTCACAGCTGCCATTACCTACCGTGACCTTGTTAGGGAAGATATGTGCATGTTCAAAACCACACAACATGATGGGAAGCCCACTGCCTTCTTATCACATCTGAGCACCTCAACGAAGACCATCAAAGTTTTGTTTACATGAGGTCACTGTAAGGGGGGCCATAGTCCTTCCACAAACGTTTGTTTAATCCTCAAGCACCACTTTGTGCCAAACTCAGTCAAATAATTATTTATTAGATCAAATAGGACATATTACCCAATGCAAAATTACAATAACCTGCTTATCAATAGCTGCACCAGAAGTCTTCAATGATGGGGTTGCGACCTTGCAAAATATTTAAAATTTATTTTAATACTTATTTTTCAAAGTTGTCTTTAAGCACATATCTGGAGCAAATTGATATTATTGCTGTAATTAGTGCTGTATTAGTGCTGTAATATTTGCAATATTTCTACAACACTGCAGCTCATCGTAACAGTCAACTAATGTCAGCATACAATTATATATACTGTAGGGATGTCATCAGTGGGCCTAAAAAATCTCAGTGGCTCAAGCCCAAAATCACTGTTAGGATTAAGCTTTTCAGCAGCACAATGTGAGAAACTGTTTCCATCTTTGCCCATAATAAACTCAGGAGTCCCTTGAATAACCAGACACTAAACACAGTCCACAGTTACCTTTAGAAATGTAACAGATCATGTATTATTAAAGCAACAGGTCATATTTTAACTTTCCTCAGAAACACAGCAGAGGTTCCTCAGCATGAGTCCATATCAAATAGACAGAGAAATCCACATCATCTGCTTGTATTCTGCTTTTTGGGGGGTAAACAGATCAAGTTCTACATGTCAAAAACAAGTGCAGATCTATGCTCTTGTCAGTAAAAGATAAAAGCATTTGTGATCACGTCTGGCTCACTTGATTTATAATGTGCAAACTGAAATCTTTAGACATATCCTATTATAAAGGCATGTTTTGATCTGAGTCTGCTTTTTAAGCAGGATAATTCCAGACCTCATTCGGCATAATTCAGTACGTTCTTAAAAAAAAACCTGCTTTTTAATGATGTCCAAATCATAAAAATGTTTGGAGCATCACTAAAAGAATCCACAAAGATTCTTCAAAAAATTAAAAAATTAAAAAAAAATAATGGCTATTCATTTCTAAACATTTTAAAAGTGCAATTCAAAAGGAACATGAATGTCCCACAATTTGTCTCTTAAGAGTTTTAATAAATGCCTTTCTTTTATTCTAGTTTAGTTTCTTTTTCTATACATAGCACATATTAAACTGGGTCAGTAAAGATCCTAAATAAGCATTTAATGTAAATTTGTGTTAAACTTACAGAAGTAAGTTTGTGTTGCAGTTGAGAAAACTGCTCCGCTCTTATGGAAATGGGGTTTATATTAATCTAAATATTACAGTACAATTCTACTAACTCACTACAAGTGAGGTCTCTGAGTTAGATTTACATTTGGTGATCAAAATGCTATATGTAGCAATGAAAGTATAATTACAATAAAATAATCTAAAACAACTGGCAGTATGGATAAAATGATTCTTTCAGACTAAACAACAGATGACAAACATTCTTTAGAAGAAATTAGAGACAGAATAAAATTATCTTGATATGAGATTTTGCAAGCCCTTTCAGTAATAAATGAATAATGTTCAGTAAACAAATAAAATACTTGGAACTTCTACCAAGGAAGCACAGCTGCATATTTTTCCTAAAATGTGGAACTATTTTTTTCTAGGAAGGATTTGTGGCTGTAAAACATGTCCTTGTAGCTGCCACACTATGTCAATACATACACAGGTAAATATGCAAATATTCTTACGTTTAGAAAACTGGAAAAAAAAGCAATAAAAAACAGTAAAAAACAAAACAACAGATTAAACTAACTTCAAAAAGAGTGAAAGTAGTGTAATACTTCAATTTTACAGCAACTTCATACAAAACAAATGATCTGAGTCGATAGAACTAAGAGGCACTGTGGCTGCAGTAAGGCGTCTCACTCAGCCTTCATCTGGTCCTTGACATCTGAAGGCAACGTTTCAAACATCGCATCCTCCACTATAAGGCCACTCCGCTTCAAAGCACGACAGGAACCAAGCTCTTGTGGCAGGCACTCAAAATGGTTCCCTTTGAGTTCCAGGTAGGTCAGAAGAGCCAGGAAAGCAATTTTGGGTGAGAGTACAGACAGCGAGTTCTTGCCCAACTTTAAGGTTTTGAGCTTTTTGCAAAAGAAAAGTTCATCTGGTAGGTTTTCAAGTTTGTTACAAGTGACAGAGAAGTACTGTAGACTCTGAAGGACTCCGATTTCTGGAGGGATGAATCGAATGTCATTGTTAGACAGATCAAGGTAGCGCAGCTTGTGGCACAAGAACAGGTGTGATGGCAATATTTCGATCTTGTTGTGACTGAAATAGAGACGCTCCAGACTGCTGAGCTTTTTGATGTGCTCTGGGATATACATGATGCCGTTGTGCCAAAGTTTGAGACACGTGAGCTTCCGAAGATGCTGGAAGCTTACGATCTCTTCGATGGAGCGAAGGTTATTCTCTTTCAGGTCAAGCTCTTGCAGATTTGTCAAGCTGAAGATTGCATGTGGGATGCGTTCCAGATCACAATGAACTATCTCCAAATCTATCAGATTGGTCATCTTTTTCAGGTTGTTGAGCATTACTAACTTAGTGCCATCACTGTGTAAGTACAATCGCTGCAGATGGCTGGACACATCTACAATTGACTGGGGTATCTTTGTCAAGTTGCTTTTGAAATAGAGAGTTTTCAGACATTTCATCTCCCGCAGAGACTCAAGAACTATATTTTTGGAGGCGTCAGGACTAAGCGATCCAATAAGATACAGTTCCTCTAGGTTGCGCAAACCATACATCCAGTTTGGAAGTTCCCTGTTGTCATCAAACTTTACACGAAGCACTTTCAGGTTTTCCTTGAGGAAGGAAGTAGCAGTTGTGTGTAGCTTCAAGGAGCACTGGTAAAGAGACAGCTCCTGGAGTCCTTCCAGCTGAGAGATGGAGGCAGGTATGGTGACGTTGTTGATAATCTCAAGCTTAAGCGACTGTAGCTCTGTCAACTCGAAGACAGTGTCGGGTAAACCAGGAAGCATGAAGAGCTGAAGTTCAAGTCTGTTGTTTGAATTTATCTGGAGTTTCTGACGCAGTTTCTCTGCAGTCCATTCGTGGTTGAGATTGAGTTGTTTGAGCTTGTTCTCACTGACCTCAGAAAGAAAAACTGCAAATCGTTTTGAATACAGCGGGTCATACTGATCTATCATGTGCAACATGAAAGCAAAGTCATTTTTGACATCTGGGATGTCATTGATCCCCGTTTCTTGACGCACATACTCAAAGGAATACTCTTTCAGAGAACGGTAGAACAGCCAGTAGGACGTATAAAGGCTTGTTAATCCATAGACAGCCACCAAGCACAAATAACAGTAAGACAGTTTAGAAAAAAGATGAGCCATGGTGTGGTTACACTGAAAGTATTTATAGCCTGTCATGTCCTGGATCTCCACTTCACAGCGTACTCTGTTCCGCACTTGATTCACAAGAGAGCTGTTATAGGCAATGATCAGGAGAAACTTAAACACCTTGAACACAGTCTGACGAACATACATCAGGTAGAGGATATCTCCCTCTTCAACATGTAGTCTGAATTTCTTCACCTTTTCAAAAAGAGCTTTAGCTTGTTCACCTTCTTTTTTATCAAGAACACTTGCTGGCGGCTGGTCCACCACTATCTTTTCTGGGATAGAACGGAGGGACTGTGTCTTCTCAAGACTCCCTTCTTCAGGAGACACACCAGTGCTGGATCGAGATGTACTGCTCTTTTTCTGGTCCTTTTCTTCTGGGTTTTCTCCAGACACCTCAGACAAAGCACGAGTGGTCCAGGGAGAATCAAAGCACTTGCTAAGCATTGAGATAAAATGCTCTATTTTGGAACTTGAGCCAGGGAATTTAAACCAAAAGTTGCTGCATACCATGAAAACTAGAGTGTGTATTAGAACCAAGTAAGGAAAGTACTTGGCATACCAATGTAGAGCCTTCTCATAACACATCTGATTGATAAAAGTGTACTGTTGTAGATCCAAATTAGTTTTCCGCCCTGACATTTCTTTCAGCACAGCTGAGGTATTGGATTCCAGATGTAAGAGTGAACTCATTTCCACTTCACTGACGTTTCCGGGTATTCTTTGTGGAAGGCATATGATCTTGTCTTGCATCACCTGCAACACAGTGTAAAGAAAAGGGAAAATTAGAAAAATGTTTTAAACATATGTCAAAATTCAGCTTTCATTTAAAAACACCAACATTTAGTTAGCTTTTTTGGAAGTGAAGTATTATAAACATATAAAGATGCATAAATCGTAGTTGTTATCTTTATAGCAGTAGGAATAGTAGTATGTAACCTGTGTAAAGTAAGACAAAACTACCAATAGTCCATTAGTATAAATGCTATTTTTGGCTTTTTATTATATGCTGTAAATTAGAGAGAACAGATCCATTATTCACTTTCTTTGGTTGATTTTTAAAAAAAATTTTGTTTTGTAGAAGAGATACCAATGATCTTATAAGTAACACCAACATGTTTCCACATTACAGCAACGGTAACAACCCTTGGTCAGGCTTGGCCAGATGATGGTCAGCATAACAGCCCTTCATTAAGAGTGCTCAGAGTTGAGCATCCCCCAGCTTGAGCTGCTTCGGGTAAAAAACAGACGCCGGTGCTACAGAAGCTAGTGTCCAAGTCGGGGACTACAAAGTAATCTTCAACTTCTCTCTATCTACTGAATATCACCCTCCACAGGATGTTGGCTGCCAACAATCTATAGGCATTTATGAAAATGTTTGAGGTGACAGCAGAGGGGTGCCAGTTGCGAACGACAGAATCAGTACTGTGTTTACTTCCTCTTCTCACTGTGAACCCACAGGTATCAATGCTCACTTTGCCACTATCAGCTCAGGGGAACTTTCAAGAGCTGTGGCAACCAGTGTTTGACTGTACAGGTGCTGGTCATAAAATTAGAATATCATGAAAAAGTAGATTTATTTCAGTAATTCCATTTAAAAAGTGAAACTTGTTTATTATATTCATACATTACATACAAACTCATATATTTCAAATGTTTATTTCGTTTAATTTTGATGATTACA